CTGGGCAGTCTTGTTGAAAATGGAGGAGGAATATATTGAGAATCTTTGTGCGCAAATACTAAAGTTCAAACCTGATGTTGTAATCACTGAAAAGGGTCTTAGTGACCTAGCATGCCATTACCTGAGTAAGGCTGGTGTTAGTGCAATTAGGAGGTTGAGGAAGACTGATAACAACAGAATTGCCAAAGCTTGCAGGGCTGTTATTGTGAACAGACCAGATGAATTGCAGGAGTCAGATGTTGGTACTGGGGCTGGGCTATTTGAAGTTAAGAAAATTGGGGATGAGTTCTTTGCATTTATTGTTGATTGCAAAGATCCAAAAGCATGTACTGTGCTTTTAAGAGGACCTAGTAAGGATCTCCTCAATGAAGTAGAACGAAATCTTCAGGTAGCCTAATACTTTGATGTACAAGTTTCTTTTGGGAGGTTAAAAAACTTCAGGTACTAGAAAAAAATCATGGTGTCTTTTCCAATGTACAGGATGCTTTGTCAGTTGCAAGGAACATAATTAAGAATCCAAGACTTGTTCCTGGTGGGGGTGCAACAGAGTTAACCGTTTCTGCTACCTTAAAAGCAGAAGAGTTCATCCATTGAAGGCATAGCAAAGGTGTGTAATTGTTTCATGCTCTAATTAGGTTTGAGCACTATGACTTCATTATTAACACATCTTTTAGAACATTCTAATCCATCAAATGATGACATTAGGAAGTGAGGTGTAACTTTGTTTCCTGATTCTTAACCATTAATTATGTATGATGATTTTTTGTGAACTAGTGGCCTTATGAAGCTGCAGCTATTGCTTTTGAGGCTATTCCACGGACCTTAGCCCAGAATTGTGGGGTTAATGTGATTCGGACAATGACTGCATTGCAGGGAAAGGTGTGAACCATTCTATAACGTTTTGTTTGTGAAATATATCCATTCTATCTTCTTTGTTTGTAATCTTAAAACTTTTGCCATAGCATGCAAATGGTGAAAATGCTTGGATTGGCATAGATGGAAATACTGGTGCAATTGTTGACATGAAGGAGCATAAGGTATGATGATAATGTTCCTATTCTTTTAGTTTTCCATGTAGGGAGTTAAAACTTCATTTTTGGTGGTTGTCCTTTGTATATCTGAGTTCTTTTGAAGACTTTCTGCGGAATGATCAAGATTTTCTTTCCATTTTGATTAAAAGGCGAAAAAAAGAGACGTTTTCTAGTGTTAGTAAGCGTATGATCGGGGTTTGTTATGTTGCTTCATTCGTATAATTTGATTGTAAATTCGGGAATCTGTTTCCCAAATTTGTTAGGACTGATGACTAGTCCATGTAGCAGGATCAAAAGTCTGGAGTCTTGGAACTCTAATTTTTTCTTGAAAAGTCAAACTTGGAACTCTAGTGGTTTTTCAATCTCTTTCTTGCAGATCTGGGATGCCTACAATGTGAAGGCTCAAACCTTTAAGACAGCAATAGAAGCTGCTTGCTTGCTTCTTAGGATTGATGACATTGTTAGTGGCATCAAGAAGAAGCAGGCCCCTGGTGCAGGCCAAGCTCCATCAAAGCCGAAGATTGAGACAGAAGCAGATGCAGATGGCGAGCAAATACTTCCTGATTGAAGAAGGTAAACTGGAAGTAAAATTGGCAGTTGCTAAAATATACTTGAGGAAAGAAATGATGGCTTCTTTGTTGTCAAAAAGTGTTTTATTGATCTTTTCCTGGAAGTTCTTCCCCAAATTTTGGGCCCTCAACCTCAGTTGTTTTGCTTATGACTGTTGTTGGGGGCAATTGTAGGTTATCAATTTGCTTTCATTTAGGACTTTATTAGGTCAACAAGAATTCTTTGTCGATCTCTTATCCAGCTTTGATGGTTTCTTTCTTAATTATTGTGGATTTGTTGTGAAGTGTATGATTCCATGTGGTGGTCTAGTGCAAATGGGTTGCTGAAAACTTAGATCATCCCTGTTCCTTCTTGTCAACAATCAGGCTGACTGCATATCCTGTGTTGGCGTATCTGGTCACATATGAAATGATATGATATGTTATTTAGAACTGTTTGTATCTAATATCATCCTATTCTTTTACCCTGCTCCATGTAGGCAAGCATTATCTTCATGTTCTAGGACAACATAAGAGGATGGGGTTTTGAATATTGCTTAGATTGCAATTGTTTCTCTCACCGCATGTCCACCGAATCTTGCCTGTCTAGTTATGGGACCGAGGAACATGCCAAATTGTGCTTCTGGCGAGATGGGTGGGGGATGTGAAGGACAAAGAAAGATAAACCCAGTTATAGGATGCCCAAGGCCTAGGAGAATTTCGATGTTTGGCCAAAATAAGCCCATTGTAAGCTGTTAACATCTTTAGGCTCTTCACATTTTGGAATATAATTGGTAGTAAGAGGGGTTGGCAATAACGAGGATGGGGAACTTGCATACCTATCGGTCATTGTCAGAATCTGTGGAAAGTGGTAAAAGGAAAATGATGGAATAAGCAAAATTTTAAGTGAACTCTAGCTTTTATTCGGAAGATAAAAAGGAAAATCTTAGGTGAAAATCTGAGTCTCTTGTCCAGTTGTGGAAAGCTTATTCTGTCAGCATCATTTCTATTTACCCCATGGTAGTTGGATTAGATTACAATAATGAAAGGATAGATCCAGCTATTACGTATATTTCTCATCTTAATTGCTTGATTATTTTAGGTTTAGGTTGATTTCGGATAATGCACTTTAAAAGCAGTAAAAAATAGAACTGTTTGTGACTAAGTTTAGTTTTAGTGTGGAGAACTTCGGTTCTAGATACTGTAAAATAATAATAAAAAAAAAGCCTCCCATTTTCCAACCATAGCTAGAGACTAAAACTCTCACGTTCCCACAAGCTTCTTCTACCATAGTTATAGGGAGAAGTCGTGATTAACAGTTATGTCTTCAAGACTTGTAAATGCCGGTTACCTTCCTATGGTGAAAATATATCTCGATTTATACACTTAATAATTTTTTATTTTGAAATAAAATGTTAAATATACCATGTAATATATATATATATATATATATCGTACCAAAAATTAATCTTGATATATGGAAATTAGTGAAGAATTGCCTTGAGTTTCTTTAATTGTAGAATGGGCATAAAATATCATTAAATTTTAACAAAAATAGTTTTTTAATTTTAATTTAACTATTCGGGCAATTGGAATTAAGCATTTTTGTAATTTCTTTTATAAATGTGAACACAAAATTTATGGTTATAGGGCTGAAATGTAAATAAAATTGTGTCAATTATGTATTAAATATTCAAGTGATCAAATGACTGACATATAATAATTAAATAAGACTGAAATAAATTAAAACAATTTTGAGTGAAGAGACTCCGGGTTGAGCCACTTGCTCCATTTCCTTTCCTTTAATGGTTCTCAATATTTTTCCATTCTTCTAGCATTGTTTCGCTTTCATATGTGGTGGGTAATGAAAGTACATTTGATTCTCGTTTGTCATTTAGTATTAAATATATATATATATATATGTTTGTATATATATTTATATATAAAAGTAAAAGAACAGAGAAAATCTTGGCTCACCCAAATCCAACCAATCACAAGCTTTCCTTGTATTACTTCTTATCACCCCTTCATTTCCCACCTCTTCTCCTCCCTCCTCCCTCATCCTCAATCTCCAACTCCTTTACTTAAAACCGTCTATTTCTTTCTCTTGAAATTCTGAATCTTGAATCTTGAGCTCTCTGTGGCTCTCCAATGGCGGCAAACACTCTGCAAACTGCCCCTCATCACCACCATAACAATACTCTCTTCAAGCCTACTTCTCCTCCTCCACCACTCTCCTCTTCTCTTTTCCTCAAACCCACTTCTTCTTCTTCCTCTGTAATTCTCTCTGCAACCACCACCACCACAACCTTTTCTCTCTCCTCCGCCGCTGCTACCTCCACCACCATCTCCTCCTCCCAAGCAATTACCTTCGACCTCCTCGAGCAACACTTGTCTGCTCAAAATTTCCGGCAAGCTGATGAGGAGACCCGGCGGCTACTCATCGTCCTCGCCGGAGAAGCGGCACAGAAGCGCGGCTACGTCTTCTTCTCCGAGGTACAATTCATCCCAGAAACTGATCTAAAAGCCATTGACGAGCTATGGAAGCAGTACAGCAACAACAAGTTCGGATACAGCGTGCAGAGGAGAATCTGGGAGAAGGTGAACAGGGATTTCACAAAGTTTTTTCTCAAGGTCGGGTGGATGAAGAAGTTGGACACTGAAGTTGAGCAGTATAATTACAGAGCTTTTCCGAATGAGTTCGTGTGGGAACTTAACGAGGAGACGCCGGAAGGACACCTGCCGTTGACGAATGCTTTAAGAGGTATCCAGTTGCTGAACAGGGTTCTGAGTCACCCGGCTTTTCAAGCCGTAGAAGAAGAAGAAGAAGAGGAAGAAGAAGTAGTTGGAAGAATCGAAAATGGAGTAAAGGGTTTGATAGATGGGTCTGGTAAGAAGCCATTAAGTAACAGAGTGTTTAAATCAGACTACAGCTTCTGACAATGGAAGCTCTAAGAATTTTAAGGAATTGCCCATCACATATACAAGGGAAAACATAAAAGTATCATGTGAAAAAGGTGAATATTATTGAATCTTGTATCACCATTTTTTCTTCTTTAATTTATAATAATAATAATAATAATAATAACAACAACAATAACCCTTTGTTTTATAAAGCATTTCTTCAGTTTTCTCCGCGGAAGACACTTCTGCATTTGTCTGCATTTTGATTGCTTTTAAGCAAGGAAAAAATTGATGAGCTAATGGACATGGTTATGCTAAAATTCTACATTAAATTAAAATTTACTTTAACCGCAGCCAAAATCTTTAGCATTAACCGAGGAGCACAAATTTACAGCGAAGAATATCTTCAAAAATTAAAATATTTTGATTACTATTAAATTTAACTCTCTCTTTTCCTAAAGTACCAATTCACTGCCTATGCGTAGAATCTTGACGTTAAAAGAATAATCCAAAGAGAGAAATACAAGATGCTAGTTGGCATCAAATATTAAAAATACAACGAGTGTGGGGGAGGACATGTTGAAAGAGTTGTGTGTTTGTGTTTTTTTTTTTAAGATAATCATGAAACCTTCTCTTTTCTGCTTGAAGTTACGTGGACGCTGCACAATGTATAGACGCATACAAGAACAGACAAGCACACAGAGACGTAGGGTAGTTTTTTTTTAAAAAAATTTTAACACAATACTTATTTTTCATATATTTTTTGCTGTTAAAATTTATTAATAACGTACTTTAAATTATATAATTTTGGAACTTTTAAAGATTTTATTAATTTATATATATATATTTAAAAAAATTAACTTATTACATAAATATTATGATTAATAGTCTGATTTCAATAACTACCAGATAGAGATAAAGAATATTAACATTTCTATTTTTGAAAGTAATATTCTCATTTTTTGTAAGTTGAAAAAATTTGAACTTAAGAATTTGTTCAGTATACTTTTAAGCATAGATTTAGTGTCTTTTTTTTTTTTTTTTTTAATTCTCTCTAGTTGATGCTGCAGTATTTTAAATCTCTTTATTCACTTAAATTTTGAATTTAAGAATATTTGCGGAAGACCTCTTATTCTCTAAAGATGTATTTATTTATTTTTTCTTTTTCTAATAAAAAAATCTTACAACACACTACACATTCTAAATATCTTGGACGCCCTCCAAAACCGAAAGTTAGAGAAGTATGAAATGAATTCTATTGTTCTCGAGGAATCGGTGCTTCAATGATGATTGACCATTGAATAAACTAAAGGTAAAATTAATAAAAAAGTACATTTTATATCGTTGTAAGCACCCTTTTCAAAAGTTTAACAACACATGAATTGGCGCGGATAAAGCCCGACAACGCTGTTGCTGAAAATTACAAAAATCGCCTTCGATGAGGCCATTTTCAATTACCGTTATGCGTAATTTTTCTACCATTATGATCATCATTTTCTTTTCTACAGGTTGACCAGAACAAAACACCAAACTGCAAAATGAGCGGGCAGAGCCGCCGCATCGGAGAGTTCCGTCGCCGGTGAATTTTGATTTTTTATTTTTTTTAGCCAACCGATAACTTTTAACGTATTTTTTTTATAAAGATTAATACAAAATCGGCCGAAAACATCCGATTTGAGACAGACCACTACCACCGCAGGTAACGGCCCCATAACCAGAGCACAGGAGAGCCGCCGTGCCACAATTTCAGAATTAGCCAAAAATAGATTCGGAGACTGATTTTAAATTTTTAGAACATTTGTAGGTACTTATAACACGTTTTAATTTTCGAAGAAAAATTCAGGGGTTGACCTTATAAAAAATTGGTTTGAAGATAAAAAAAAAGAAACAACAAATGAATTCGTTTTCTAAATGTGGACGGACCCTGTGAGTTTCCCCAAATTTATTCCCAAGTGAATTTGTTAATTTATTTTGGTTGATTCGCATATGAAGTAATTACTCACAGTAAGTGCCGCTTAGTGGCTGGTTCAGGGAATCCAAAGATAAGACAGCACCTACAAGGTAGTTAATTAAAAGACATACAAAACATAATAAACAATACTGACTTTTAACCAACCCCATTGTAAGAGAGTTCTGAGAAACTTAAAAAGATAATCAATTTTGGGATTATACTCTGTTTTGGGACTCTTAATTACTTTCTATTTAATTATAAACATAGCCATTTTATTAAAAAAATAAAAACATAAAAAGATTATATTAAACTTTTTAAACTATTATGACTATCCAACTAAAAAAACTTACCCACTTTATCACGAAACTTAATTTAATCGCTATAACTCCAAATAATGTAGTAACGAACTAAGCCTCAAGTCCCACTAAATTTAGCATTGTGCACTAAGAAAACTCAGTTCTCATTGAAATTTCAACTGATAACCTTCAAGTAGAGGTCAAAAACATAATTAACTTCTTAAGAAATATATATATATATATATATATAAATACATATATAAGCAGATAGCTGGAATAAACCTTCGAAGTCATAATGATTATTGCACAATAGACTATCTCTACTGTGGAAGCTTAATGCACGAAAAAATATTTCTTTCTGCAATTTACAAACCCGAGAAAAAGATGAACCTTCATTATGCACCCCCGGCATCAGGTCCAGAAAAAATTGCCCAACAGAAGAGCACATTGACTAATATTACAAACGAGACTTTTGCAGTAAGTTGGTCCTAGCAATTTAATGTTAGATTTTAGTATTTAAATAATAATAACAGTTTTTAAAATTATGATGTAACTGTAAAACGACAATGCTTAAAATTAGCGGTGCAAGCTGAAGTTTAGTGTAATTATCCTATCATATGCTTGTGCTCCAAACCTTAGATGCATCATATCATGCATCATACAAGGAGAAGAAGGTTGCTCCGTTCGTTGAATTTGCAGAAAAGAAAGAACTTCCACATATGGTTCATATTATCAGCAAATGAATTAGCAGAACTGAAATACCAGCAGCATAGTTCATGCATATCAGACTATAGATGTGCAAAAAGATCTACACATCACGTGCAAGAAGAAGGTTAAGTAGTTAAGGATATGTTACCAGAGTTAGAGGGGAAGACAAAATAAACAAAATGGGAGTTGCCAAGAAGAAGAGAAAGAACACTATTTTCTTTCCTTTTGTTTTGATGCTAAAAAAAATGAGAAAAAAATCATCTACTACTGTAGAGAGGAAAGTTTATCCTTTTCTTTATTATGTTAATTCATTTTCTTTCAATTTGAACTTTTTTTGGGGAAATTGAAAATGGAGGCATAAATTGATCCCATTTCTCCTTATCTCCAAAAATTGAACACCCTAGCAAGAAAAAGAAAATTTATTTCCTCTCCCATTTCTTCCATTCTCTTCTGTCTAACTCCATTTAAAAAATAAAACCATTTGCATAATGTTGTGCGGTCAACAAACTACATACTTACCATATATAGGCACTACGCACAGGGGCAAAGTCTCTTCGTATGTCTATGCGAGCCATCACAAGAAAGCACTGACTGCGTCCGACTGTATAAGCATGCTCCTGGATTCTGAAAATTATATCGGAAGAAAAACATATCTAGTGAATGATTACATCAATGTGGATTTCATCCTGTTCCTAATCAATATTTTAAAAGCATTTTCCTTATCCCTCTCTACTTTTGTTTTTCTATCCTTCCTGGAGCTTAGTTAGTTTATGTTAACTTTAGATTGTCTTTTCTTTTCATAATTCTAATATACTCGTTCTTAAGACAAAAAGAAAGATGTGTTGTTGAACAAACAGAAAATGGGGAAGGTAAAAAAGAGTCCTACCACATAGAGAGCATGCAAGAGAACCAAAAAAAGTCTGGAACCAAACTTCTCTTCAAGTAACCAAACAATTACAGGAACAATCCTGGAAAATGTTGGACTACCAACAACTAAGAAAATCAACAGAGAATAATCCCCAAAATCCTACCTCAAGAAAATGTGTTCTTGTACTGACCAAAAAAAATCTTTCTAAACAATGCCAGTGAATTCCTTCTCAGCTAGGTACCAAGCTTCAGTTTTCTACCCTTTGAACTAACTCATGGGATAAGTTACTTTGACTTCAAATAACATTTTCATAACATTTTATATCATGTGATGCAATGGTGGTAAAAGTGTGAAACCAAGATAAAAGTCTTGATGTTAAATCTGATAATAAAAGAGCAGATGTAAGAGGGACACAAGGCATGACCACAGGAAAGATGAGTCACAGATTATTTGTTAGAACAAATTATTTACAAGAACTCAGAGTAAAAGAGGTATACCAAATGTGTGGGGGCATCATCAACCACTTCGGCAGGCTGATCTGCTCCAATGCTTGCCAAACATGCTCCTTTGCAGTTCATATATCTTTGGATACTGTTCAAAAACAAAGAAATATACAGATCCATAGTAGTTATGAAAATTTATGGGAAAAGCAGAAGACAAGAGTCCATCCTAATAATCCACAAACAACCCTGACACTAGACAATGAAATGATTTTTTTATGCTAAGCAGGCTGAAGATTGGGTCCCTAGTTGATTGAGAACATTGTTTACACACATCATATAGACCATTTGATGGGAAAATCCATTAGTAATGAACCTTCATTATATTATATAGACCAACATATCATGACACCTAACAGTTCCAAAACACCATTCAGGAGTTACAATTATTGTCAGAGCCCTAGAGAACTGCCTCAAGATAACCAGAGCCATTGGATGTGGTATGTGGGACAAATAAAATATTACCAATTAATGGGGACATTCTACTAGAAATCAAATAGTAGGTCTTCCTCTAAAACGAGAAAGGAAAAAAGGGTCAAGAGAGAGACAGAGAGAAACTTCACTTCCTCAAAAAGAAAAAAAAAAGGAAAAGGAAATAAAGAAGACGCATGAATATACCATTTTAAGCAGACAGTTACAAGAAAGGTTGTTGAAATTACCAAATATTCCAATAATTGAATAAAGCTAATTATAAAGGTAATAGCAGCTAGCCAGAAACCAATTGGGAAAAAGATTTAACACATAGTGATAACTTTATTAAAAAAAACATATAGTGATAACTTACATATCACATTGATTTAGCAGCCAAAGTTTATTTAGGACACACGATTTTCCATTTGACTGGCAAACTGAATCACAGGACTCGCCTTGCCTATCATCCATGTAATAAGTTAAATATTATGCATAAGATATACAAGACAAGAAAAAAAGATTGCCATATGCCTCACCTCCCAATGATGACATTAATGCCAAGCAGTCTGCCTTCTGCTTGTGTATCATTAACTCCTTTTACAGTGAAAGAGACAACTGAGATTAATTGTTAAACAGCTGCAGATAGCACCCTTCAAGGGTCTATACAACATGACTTTACAATTATGAAAAGATAAGAAGAATGGAAAAGAAAAAAAATATTATAACAACCCAGTCTTCTCCTTTTCTTAGAATTTGAGAAGTAACTTATCATAGATACATTTGGTAGTTGTTCTGGTATAGAACTGGACAGAACCAAAAAGATCAATCTCACATTTAGCGGCTCAGAATATGAGACTGGATAGGATTTTTATATTTTGCAATAAAAAAGGATTGATATAAGTTAAGGGGATGTTGCCCATGTACAGAACATAAACTACACATCTTTAGAAGACAAAAAGTCAATTATGTCCCCAAGATTGTTTCTACTTAAGAGAGGATGACCCTTCAACAAAACAGATAAAGCATGGAACCAATAATGTCTAATGCTAACAAAAGAAGAGATTTTTTTTTTGAGATAAGCAAACAAAAGAAGAGATAATCTCCTAAAAAATTCTACTATTCCTTTCTTTTCATATAATCCATATTGTGGCCAACGTACTGAGGGTGTGAAGGTTCTTCGTGGACTTTCTACTATGGAGACCATTTCAGCCCCAGATGTCATCTTAAATTGAGCCAGTCAAACTCAAGATAGATTGAGGAGACAGAGGGCAGAATGCCAGAATCCCACAACCTTCTAGAAACGAACACCAGAGAGGAGATGGGTAGGGAATTCTCCGTCACAGAGACACATAGAAGTGATTAACCAAAATCCTGCTTCTCTGAATCACTGGCACATTTGCTTCGAAGGTTGCTTGGCAGAAGATTCTCACCAGGGGAATGTCGATGATGCTTCCCTCCAAATTTGCTTCTGCAGGAAGTGAAAGCAACCTGGTTTTGAGACAAAAGATTAAGATAGAAAGATTTCATTGAGGACACCCCGGCATTAGAAAATGGCTTTACAGGCATGTCCCTTACATCTGGTTTGTCTTGACAAGGACTAAGCTAGCCAATAAGGAAACCAGATCATCCACTTCCCAATCATCCAAATGCCCGCAAGCTAAACATTCTAATTGGCTACAGAACCATTCTTCTCCATAGCCGCTCAAGAATTCCTCTTTGCCTTAGGCAAGATAGAAAGTACTAGGAAAATGGTCTTCCAAAGGCCCATCACCACACCAGCAAGCCTCTCCGAAACACAACCATTACCCACCATAAAGTGAACAGGATCAGCCCCCAAGTTCCATTCCCAACTAACCACCTCCACAAGTTCCTATGCCCTCTTCCAAGTATGTACTGATAAAAGTCGTCCAATTTCTCCTATCAAGGCCATATTTGGCACTAATGACCTCTGCATGCAGGACATGAACCTCGACAGCTATTTAACTAAAACGGAGTTATTCAACTCGTTAACAGGTCTAATACCTAAACCCCCATGCTAGAGAGATCTCTAGATATTCACCAAGCCATCGACTGGTACCACCTTTGCTTTTTTGCAACCCCAAGAATCGACTTTATATAGCTTCCAACTTCCAACCATCTTGTCATGGTAGCATAAAGAGACGTAAAAGAACCCAGGAAACCCGATAACACACTCTTGATGAGGGTTAACTGGCAACCCCTAGAAACAAGCCTGACAACACACTCTTGGTTAGGGTTAACTAGCAACCCTTAAATAGAAAGCTCATTATTCAACTCACCAATGTTCTTTCATTCTACTGATAATAGGGACCGAGCAATATATTCTTTGGAAAGAGAGAAATACTATAAACAAACATCACGTGGAATTGTAGCTCATTAAAAGATCTATGGTTCACAAACTGTTGATAAAGATTTCATATTAAGTAGGATACTATGCTAAATAAGATATTTTATTATTTAGAGTTCTAATAATTCAGTAATTTAATATAATTAGAACCCTATTAAAATAAGGATAATTCCCTATATATATATTAAGTGTAACAACACAAAAAATAAGAAATAAGAAGAGAGAATATTTTTTCTTCAAAAACAACTTCATGGTATCAGGGTCAAAGTAAAATTATTTTAACGTTTTTTCCAAACTCTAAAATAACAAAATAGGTTAAGTTGGTACTCAACTATCAAAAAACTAAACTCATCGCCACCCCATACGGGATCGCCGCTCATTGCTGGCCAATACACTATATTGTTTTCCATGTGCGTAAGCCACACGTGCCGCAGGCTGCAGAGGTGCGTGAGCCACACGCACCTCTAACATCATCCCATTTGGCCCAAAAATCTCTATAACACTGCCAGAAATTCCTGATCGAGATAGATCTGGCCTTTTCCACACGAGATCCGGCTTGATCGTGCATTTCCAGCCTTTTTTTCACGCAGCTGCGCGCATTTGGCAAATCTACCGTTTTGCGCTCTCAGCTGCTCCGTTCCGGTCGATCCGCGCATAGAGATGACTCGTTTGCTCTTCCCGCATACTACAATTCGACTACAATCTCATTAATTTCCAGTATTTTTATGTTCATCCAAACACTCGATGACCTATTTTTTTTTAAAACCAAAATTTGTTTTAAGCACCTTTGATGCGGAACCTAACTAACATGATCAGGAATTCACACAATTTTATTTAAAAATATCAAATGAATTGATCCTATAAAAACCCTTTCTACTTAACCCGCTATCAAGAATGATAGGAATTAAAGTTATTAAAATAAAAAAAATAGAATAGAAAAACGTCACAAGGTCGTACATTGATAAATAGATCTACTCTTTACTCAACATGTCTTGATAAATAGATCCACTCCTTACTCAACAATATGTTAGAAGAACCTTTCTTGAAAAAAAAAATACTCTTAATTTTATTGAGATAATTTATGAATGTCTTACAATGAAAACTTTGTGGCCTATTTATAGGTTAAGCCAAGTAAATAAAAAAAAAAATCTCTTAATTTAATTTATAATTACAAAAGAAATAAATTAAAAATTAAAAATTAAAAACTAATTTCCTAAGTAAGATAAATTCAGTTTTTCCTTTTAATTAAAAGAGATTGTGACCAAATTAAAAGGGAAGACATATGGAAATAAATTAAAAATTAAAAGTTAATTTCCTAACTAAGATAATTTCTCATAATTAAAAGAAATTGTGATCAAATTAACGGGGAGCCATGGAAATTTAGGGCCGACCATAAGATTTCCTTTTTGGCCTATTCCCTTTTCTTTCTTTGGATTGGACGTTCTCTTTATGGTTCATGTCCATGCTTACATCAATCTTTGACTACAAAAAAGAGTAAATCCAAACATCCACATTTTCCAGTCTGAATGTATGTTATCTACACACTTTTTAAGATCTTTGAATAGGATAAAATATCCTTTTAAAGGTCTTTGGACATATTGATATAACTGAACTTTCAACAGTTGAAAGGCATCCATTTCTCCCATATAAAGAGTCTTTGACTCATTATGCTTTGTCCATCTAAAACTAATAAATTTTAAATTGGTATCGGTTTGGCTCATGCATTAGTACAAATATTCAAATACCTGTTTATAAATTATGCAGACTGGAAAGACGTCCCAGACATCTTATGCTAAAACAGAGTTTTTTAGGTGTGAGTGAGCAAATTGTAACTTGCGATATGAAAATAATACCTCATTCAGGATTCCAACTCCTAAAAATATACTCTAAAGATTGATTTTTTAATCTTAATTAACCATTCTTCCAAATTTTGTTTTAGAACAAAAGATTATAGTTCTTTGGGAATCTTAGAAATGAACAGGAAACCGACAAGATATATTAAGGTTCAAACCACATTATGAGAACAAAAACTATTTGTTCCTTAAAATTATACATCAGCGTAGGTGCTATATGTTTCTACTATCAGGAATAACAGTCTTAAATCAAAATATAATGTATACTTAATTTTTCGAGAGAAAATTATGTAAACTTTATATTAGCCAACTTAATGGTTTATAAGCAAGTCCATGTCACAATTGATATGAACTCAATACCAAAAGCAAAGTCATCATAAACATAGCACACTCATAATCCATGAATAGCGAACTAATTGTATCCACATAGAACAAATAGATATAGACTGACCTGAAGAGTTTGATGGCAGAGAAAAGCAATGATGAAAATCGCTAACATAAGCATTTTCGTGAACCTGATATATGCAAAGCCATTTCAGATACTATCTTCATAGTTTTTACAAACAACATGGTGTTTCTGCAACCATGTGAAAGGAGCTAAAAATGTCTGGTTCACATTAATGTCACTTTAATGTTCTTCAGTACAACTTTTCACATCAAAACCATCATTCAGCAGCATCCAGTAACATTTCTTTTGAACAACTTGCAACTTTTGATGGAAAAAAAAAGTAATGGAACAGCAGTTACCACACTCTCAGAGTTATGGCGGCACCTCCCAGCACAAAAATCAAAGACACTTGCATAAATCCCTGGAAGGGCAACAGAAAGAAAATGTGGTAAACTTCTCAAATTTTTTCCAAGTGCAATATTCTCGTAATGAGATCTAACTTTCTTTCTTGAATAACATTTCAACAAATGTAGTGGATGAACTACGCATCAAAGACTGATGATCTCAAAAACTAGTTAGAAGTAGCAACTTAAAATAATTAAACGGTTAGGTCATATCTTGAGTAATAATTCAGTTAAAAAAGTTTCTTAAAACACAATCTAACAAAATAATTTCTCTGTTTGTCCTTAAAAGAGGTAAAAGAATTTTAGTTTACAAGGCAAAACGTTGACAGTTCCACATGCAAATGTTTTCCACAAATCATAAGTTGATGCAGGATAAGGAGTTCCTTAAATGGGCATATTTCAGTAATAGTACAGATGAAATAGAATTAATGAAGGAACATAAACGTTTTAGGAAGTTAACTAAAATGAATAAAAAGATTTAATTTCCTTTTCTAAGTTTTGGAAAGTTTTATAATAAAAGAAAATAGGAAGATTTATTTTTCTATTTCCTATTTCCCTAGTTTTTTTGTTTAATTTGTTTTCTTACGTTTTCTAAATTTTTATTTGGTGCTTATAAATAAGTATCTAGCTTAGTTATGAAGGATAATATTCATGATGATAATTCAAATATTCAGTAGTTCTTTGGTTACTAAAATTTGATACCTCCAAGTTTTTGTTTTCGAAAATTCTTTTCTAAGTTTTGTCTTTAAGGTTTCTTTGTCCTACATCGATTGGTCTTAGAGCCTAAACTCAATTCATCGTACTGTTTTAATTTTCTCAATACAACTTCATAAAATTCAACTCCACTGTCAGAAAAAAAAAAAAGAAAAAAAAAACTCTTAACTCCTAAATCAGCCACCACTAGCATCAGGAAACAGAAAAGACAACCGACAATGCAGTGCTAGCTCCAGCCACCTCTGGGAGGTGGTCAACAACACCCCTTGATATGTGTCCTAAACAAGAAGGCGCTACACCCGGCCCCTTTGCTATTTGATGAGATTAGGACGAAAGGGTTTTCTTTCATTAACATTCAATGAAGGTGCATAGCTTCTTTGAATATCTTGTTTATTGACAATCCATTAGCCTCAGAGGGGCCCGATCAGCTGCTCCATCAAGTTTCAGCACTCACCAACACTGGAAACTGCCACATTTTCTTCTTGAAGTTACTCTTGTGGCTGCTTTGCTAGAACCCATTCTTCTCGACCATCAGGAGTAACACTGACACTGGATCTGCACCACTGCCTCTAGTTGACTTGCCAGCTACCAGCCAGGAGATCATTTTCGAATGTTCATCGGAAGCCAGCACATGACACCCACGCACAACAAATGTGCTTGTCCTTTGGTTTTCTAACATTCTGTAGACCAGTCCAAACTAGTTTCCAATTCGGTTCACTTTTCACAGTTCAGCCACCTCCAAACCTATTTTTGGTACTTCCAGAGATTCTTGAAATTTTTATGCATGTTCTTTCACTTTTTGAGATTAATTGGCTCAATTTTTTGTTTGTTATTCACTTTTGCAAGTTGATATTGCACAAAGTACATTTAGTGTCAGGACTGTTGGATGAATTTAATACATGAATGTTCTATCAAGTAGATAGTTCAGTTACAAATGATGATATATGATATGCTTTATCTGAAACTTTTGATCAATATGGATGTCAGGAGAAAATTAAAATCAATTGGGCATTCTACCAACTAAACAAACAATATGAAGTATGTAATAGTTTA